CCGCCATATGTTGGGTCATAGAATCCGAAACTTGTGTCAGATTTTCTCAAAAAAGGGTAGGCCTAAGGATTTTTAACCCTTCCAGCCCCAGCCATTTTTGTGCGCTCCCTAAACACAGTCTCAGCCAATACAGTAGTATTTCAGAAAAAGAGGCATGCATTCTAAAAAGTGATGTAGTATCTTTGTAATGAGGTTTATATAATAACGTATAACAATGTTTGAAGGTAAATGAACAAATATTCTGAAAAATAAAGTTTAATTAGGTTTGCTTATTTCGAAAAAAAAAAAAGGCACAAATTCAGTAGGCCTACCCCCTGAAACTGAGAATACATGCTCTTGGAATGGTGGGAGGTACAAGCGCTGCTGAAAATGTGCATGAGGCTGGAAGGGTTAATAGGGTACGTCACATTTTTGCTTTTTGTTTCTCTTTGAGTTATATTAAAACATATAAACCCATAAAATCTCACTCGTATGAGTATCAATAATACAATTTTATGCTGTTAAGTTCAGTTCAATATATAACATCTTTTTCTTTAGTGAAATCATCATCTATTGAAATGTATCATTACATTTGACTCTTTTAATATCAGGTCCAGCTAAAATGCCCTCTTTCCGCCTAGCGAAACTGACACTTAGGAGTTGGTTTTTCAGCCCAAACAATGTAGCAGCACACCAGAAAAGCACTGTGGGTGGACACGAAATTCAACAATTAATTCTTGAAACGACACAACAAAACTATGGGAATCACTTACATCAGTTTTAATAAATAATCACCAAATGAAGTTTCCAAGTGACTCAATTACACAATTTTATAACACTCTTTAGGTTTTATGCACTGCCTTCCGCACTTTGGACTACATTGTTTCTATCACTGTTTCTATTATTAATAAACTGTAGAAATAATAGGATTCTAAACTTTTGAACAATATGTCTTTTTAAAAATAAAAATGTGATGTAGGACATTATGCAAGTATAACACACTTGGTCGACTGTCTTTCTGGAAAGAATTAACGTTATTCCCCTTGTTTCATAGAGCCTGTTATTCTTACTTCCCCTGAGGAAATCAAGAATACCTGAAACTGTATTTATATATAATGTGAATTCTGCAAAAATACTTGACCTGATAGATCTAGATGAAAACTAAGAACTTATTTGGAATCAGCTCATTTCAATTTCCATAAGAATTGACGACTTTCGTAGCTAAGCCTTTTTCATTGTTGACCAGTGTAATTAATGTATAGCTGAGAAAGCTTTTACTTATTATGTGGGTGAGCTGTTTTTCTTGTGCACATGAAATTTGTGTGTGTGGGTGTGTGTGTCAGGTTTACTCTCGGTAACCATGTCATTGATGTAAAGTGCTCAGAGCTTATACTTGTACCGGATAGAGCTCTATATAAATGTGATCTATTATTATTATTATTATTGTTACTATTATTGTTACTATTACTATTATTATTATTATTGTTACTGAGCATTTGCCAAAAGGTGGGATACCTGGGTGTGACAAATGAGGTCCAAAATCAACTTTATGTAATAATTCTTTAATCACCCATATTATATAGCCTAATGATTGCTCTTTCAGGCTCAGTAACTGCCAAAGCTGTATATGCAATGGTCTTGGTGTAATTCTGACTTGAATGACGGAAATAGCAAAAAGTTCGTTCATAACAATGATGACACAAATTTATGAATACTCAAAGTTCATTTCTTCAGCTAGGCTGATGTTATATTTTGAGACATAGCCAATGACTTCCAAAAATACATAGAATTGACAATTTATAAAAATCTTTATTAATTTTTGATAAAATTACTTTTTTGTGTCATAATAGTTATGAACGAACAATAAGTGACCAAAATACTATCAATTATATCAAGTTTCATCGACTAGAATTGTCTAAAATAACACTCTGGTCTAATTATAGTCAAGTGATAAATGAAAGACCATTGAACAGTTATTTTTAAACGCAAACTGGTCTTAGGGCATATTATGCATAAATTTAAAGTTCGTTCATAACCATTATGACACACTGTTTCGTTCATAACTATTATGACAAATTTTACTTTTGGCCCCTAAAATTTACTTATATTGTTCTGTCTTTCACATAAAACGGTTTTCATTTATGAGGCTTTCCTTAAAATATGATAGATTCCTCTATATAGGGAGAATTCAAAGTTTATTTCCTGAAAAACCCTTAGAATACCTTTAAAATGGTTCGTTCATAACAATTATAATGACAAACTTCAATTTTGACCTAAAAATTTACTCATTTTGATCTGTCATTCATTTTTTAAAACTTTTATTAAATGAAACTCTCCTCATAATATGTATCTCTGTACATGTTTTTAAAGTTTGTTAACACTGAAAAGCCCTCAAAATATATAAAATAGACTATAAATAGTTCGTTCATAACCATTACTACAAAAGTATAATACTAATTAAAATCCACACCCATACACTTATGATAAAAATCAAAATATCAGAATGTATGCAAGGTCTATTCTGTCCTTTAGTTGGGTTAAAATTAAAAATACATCCCAAAACAACTGTAAATTACATGGAATAAGGTTTCGTTCATAACCGTTATGACACACTGTTTCGTTCATAACTATTATGACAAATTTTACTTTGGGCCCAAAAAATTAACTTATTGTTCTGTCATTCACATAAAATTGTTTTAATTTATGAGACTCTCCTCAAAATAAGGTTATATGTTGGAAGAATTCAAAGTTTAATCACTGAAAAACCCTTAGAATACCTTTAATTGTTCGTTCATAACTATTATGACAAACTTCAGTTTTGACCTAAAAATTAATATTTTGACCTGTCATTTACTTTAAAATTTTATATTAAATGAAAGTTTCCTCATAATATGTATCTGTGTACATGTTTTTAATGTTTATCAACTCTGGAAAGCCCTCAGAGTACAATATGTAGTTCGTTCATAACCATTACTACAAAAGTAAAATACTAATTAAAATCCAGACACCCATACACTTATTATGATAAAAATCAAAATATCAGAATGTAAGCAAGGTCTAATACATCCTCAAGTTGGGTTAAAATTAAAAATACATCCCAAAACAACTGTAAATTACATGGAATAAGGTTTCGTTCATAACCATTATGACACACTGTCACGTTCATAACATGATGACAATCCATTATGACAAGCATATTTTTGCCTCTTCT